CATAGTTTCTGTTTTTGGAGTATGCCACCTAATTCTCTGAACCCTAAGTTCTCCAAAAATTAAAAGAAACAAAAACAACACCCCTAGACTGGTCATTGAAGGGACATATAAGTGAGCTTATGTGCCTGGTTGTGGGGTAAAGCTTTTGGGGAAGATGTGGACATTATTCCTGCAGCTCCTGAGGGAGTACAGCTTCAGGGGGATCATGTAACATCAAAATAAATAAATAAATACATTCCTAAGAATGAATAAAATGGCAAGAAAATCTGAGGGTCAGTTCCCTAACAATTGTGGAATTTAGGAATCTAAGCAATCACATCTCACAAAATGGTATGCTTATCTGTAGATTGAGCACACTACAAGCGCATACACAGGAAAACCAAAGATTTTAAAATTTTCAGACTTCCTAGTTCCTCTGATTTGCAGTTTTCACCCAATGCATCCCTTAAAGAAATCAAATAACTGGACATCTCTTGTACTCCCGTGGATTCTACCTCCACCATCACCATGGATATTTTGTTTGATACACACACATGGTATGTCATCATTGCAAAGCGACCTATTTTGCTTACAAATAAATCTGTCACACTACAGAAAAATAAGTAGTTTAAAATCAACTGTTTTGATGCCTTTTATAAAAATCCCATAAGCTATAGCCTATATCTTAATGGAGGTTGGTTGTTATTAAAATGTGGTATATATGCAGCAGGCAGATACCTATTCAATATCTAACAGTTTGTCAACTGCTGCACAACCAAGAGCTCTATTCTTGCTTCCCTTTATATAGCTGACATTTTTATTTTCAATACTCTGTCACCAACTACAGTCATATTTCTTCTCCTCAACCGAAATTAGATCCTGAAAATATATAAAATGAACATATTCATTATAGTTAAATCAAGCACTTTAATTAAAGTACTAAACTCATTTAGAAAGCATTTTGTATTTTTTTTCACATAGGCATTTTTCTTTTTCCCTCATACAGTTCTATAATTATACAAAATTATTAACATCTTAAACCTTAATTTACCTCTTCCTGTCTTTGTAATCTAAAGTTTGCTTTTAATTATTTCAGTGTTATTAAATTCCTTAATCATCCCAAGACCAAATATACATTAAAAAGAAATAAAAAATCAAATTAAGATTTCTCTCTTTTTTTTTTGTACCTTGCAATGCTTGCAGCTGGAGGGCAGTGCAAGTACACAGTTCTAGCAGCATGAGATCATGTCAGTTATTTAGGTTGTATAAATTATAGATAATATCCTTAGAAGTATATTGGAACCAACTGATTTTGCAGGCTATTTAACCAGCTCTTGTCAAAATTCAGTCTAGTCACAAAACAATAAAAATGAGCAACACTCCTTTATTCAATGTGCTTCATGCATTGGCAGGAAGTGCAGATTTACTTCTTTGTAACAGCTAATCATCACTCATGCGGAGATCAAAGAATACGATCATCTTTTTAGAGAGACTGTGTGAAGAGATGCTTGATCTTTAAAGGAGGGTGAAAAGTTTCTATTTCAAAAACAATATACTTTTTGGAGATGTGGCATACCCGGTTGGACGCACAAGTACTGCTTGTACTCATATGAATACAAGCATTTTTGGAATGAGAAAAAAAGATAATGCATCACAAGAGCTGAACTGTACTAAGCTAAAACTTTAGGTTTTCACAATACCTGCTCGCAGTGGGAGCAACACAATAGCCTGACTGTGCAACCACATTTAGCTAACAGCTAAATGGAGATGAAAAAGAAATATTCATTTTTCAATACAAAAACCTGAATAATCCATTGAAAGCTTAACGTAAAATATAGATGTGTATCAGTGGAGATTCAGATGGACCCAAAATAGAAAGTAAAAAGCTTGTAAAATACTGGTGTTTGGTTCTATCAGGCTTTTGGCATAACAATGACATCATAGGTTACAAGTATCAAAAAGCCTATATTCTTTTCTGTGTTGTAAGTCACGGATGAAAGCAATGAATGTTCCATAAATACAGAAGAAACAGGGAATATCATAGTCCCTCTTTTTGGAACAAGAAAGTTTTTTTGTGTTCAAAAAGTCCCTGTTTTTGTGGTTGAACACAAACTCCCATAGTAGTTCCCCCACTAAAGCTAGTCCACAATTTACAATAAGCAAACGTACAGTTTAGTTTTATCTCACTAGATAGGGTTTCTGGATGATACTGCCATTTTAAAGAAAAAAACTACATTTAGGACACAAATCATAATGTGCAGTTAACTGACAGATTAGGTACATTTGATGGTCTTATATTGAACACATACTACAACTGTACTGGCACTAAGGACTAACAAAAAAATTTTAATCAAGGAAAGATGATGGAAGAAGGAAGGCTCACAACTGGTGGATAGAACTGAATGTCATAATGTCTAATTGATGTTCAGACAAAATATCCTGTCCAAGGATGAGCTCAAACTTTGGCTGTCCTAATGCTGGACTTCGTATTTGTTTGGTGGGAGCCAAGCATCATTTTATCATGCATAGTAACAACATAAATACTGCTATCATACATGACAGCTTCCTTTCTGTCAATGGTTGCTAAGGATGTGGTATGTGCCTGCATCCACCATGGCCTTAGCAACCAGTGATGTCACAAGGCCTCATTCATTTACTGACTGGGAATCCCTGGCCTTGTAAACAAAAATGCCATGTTAATCTGACATCACTGACCAATTATGTCCACACAGCCACAATGATGTCCCCCCTGCAGACTCTGCATCTTTGTCTACTTTTAGCAATGGGGCCCATTTGTCATTTGGCTTCAGTCAACCCCTTAGAACTCTGAAGTCTATGGTTACTTCAAATCTGTGCACACCAAAACTGTCAAAACATCACTAAGCTGGCTGCCATGGAGAAAATCAATGTTTAAAACATAGTTATCAGACAAAATATACAATATTACCTCACAGCCATATGGTCAGGTAACACTTCTTTCTTATATACATAATAATATAATAAATAATATATAATAAAGTACAATAGAATACAATGGTATGAACAAAGTCCACTAAAGCAAAATCCCACAATGTCATGTACAGGACCCAAGTTATAGATCACAGTATGTAAACATCAGTTCAGTGTTACAGAGACACCATCATAAAAACAGGGAAAGCAATATCCAAAATTCCAACAGGTGCAAAAAGCCAAAAAAAACCCTGTAGGTAAGCACTATGTGCATAAGTCTCGTCCTCCTTTGTAGTAAATCACTAGCTTCAATACTGTGGCACTCATATTAGCCATATTAATTTTCAAAACTGAAAAAGCCATACACTTATCAAGAAGCATAACTCTTCTTTAACTCAGTAAGTCAGTATAAAGCATATGAAAACATGTTCCCCATTCCCCATGTATCCAATACATGATTGTAAGTAAATATAACTACTTGCTCCATAGGTATAAATGTTTAAAATGAATTAAATTATCATCCGTCAGTAATGAAATAATGACACCCTGCATGAATTCACTAATAGGGAACTATCCATAGCAACACTAAGCTTATGGCCTTCCAAAGTGGTATCCTTGTAGCATAAAGTATCATCAGAGTGTATACAACATGGGTCTCTTTTCAACAAATTCATCTCTGCTATATAGAGAAAAATAAAGCACTTTGCTTTCAGTAGCAGGCATACTCACTTCCCCATATAAGATAGTGCCCCTTTGTATGTAGGAAAAAAACAGCATTGCTTAGTCCAAAGGGTCCATAAACAGTGGCACAGTGAAAAATGCCCTGGGTTTTGACTGGTTTCTCCAGTCACCACCGTCTTTCTTAGAGTAAATTTTATTTTCTCATTCTTTTCTGAGGAAGCTGGTGGTGACTGCCTAGCAACCAATATATACCACTCTAAATGACAGTATTGAAACTTAGCTGTCATTCATGGTGAGAGGATCGTCAAGGAGGATCATAGGATGTTTGTTTTTTGGAACATTGTGGGGCTTTGATTTTCAGACATCATGGGATCCTATTTTTGGACATCATGGGACATTATTGTTTGGCCATTGATGGGCATTAATTTGCAGGTAGATTTCAGTGAGGTTTTGGGAACGTTAGCAGTTTCTGAAATTTTTTTAATTGTACAGTGAATGTCCCTTGAATCAAATTCAGGCATATTTGTGTCATCACTAATTATCAAAAGAGAACTGTACTTGAACTGAGTGCAAAGTTGATTTAAAAAAAAAAACTAAAATAACAAACATGTTACACTTACATGCTGTATGCATTGTTTTTGCACAGAATAATCCTTAACCTCCATCTCTGGGGCCCCCCATCAGTGCTCCAGGCTCCTCCTCTTCTTTGTGTGCCCACATAGCAAGCCAATTGCTATGGTGGGAGTCAGGGGTGGACTGACAACTCATGGGGCCCCAGGGCAATAGGGGATCATGGGGCCCCTGTGTCCTTGCTCAAACTCAAAAAAGGCTATGAAAAAGGTACCAGGGGCATCTCATGGGGCCCCCTACTGACCCCGGGCCCTCGGGCAGTGCCCAAGTTTCCAAATGGTCAGTCCGCCCCTGGGTGGGACATGTGCATGCTTGCTACCAATCATCCTGTGTCTATGGAGCACATAGACACACACACATCATGGCTCAGCCCTGTCCCCTGATCCCTCTTTACAGCATTTGAGTGACAGAAGCAGAGCCAATGGCTTCTGCTGCTGCCCAAGTTCCTGTGAGAAGAAGAACAGAAAGGACTGCAGATGGGTACAGTTCTGGCAAGTGTTTGAGGGGGGTTAGTAAGTGGTTTTTTTTTACCTTAATGGATAAGTTCACCTTTGGAACATGTTACATGCTCCACCCGTTTTTAGGGTGGAACATGTAACATGTTCCCATAGCCACAGCTGTGTCTGCTGACCCCCTCCCTCTGACAGATAGTATGGGGAGAAGTTTCCCCCGGGGCAGACTGACCATTTGGAAATTCGGGCACTGCCCAAGGGCCCGGGGTCAGTAGGGGGGCCCCATGAGATGCCCCTGGTACCTTTTTCATAGGCTTTTTTGAGTTTGGGCAAGGACACAGGGTGCCCATGATCCCCTATTGCCCGGGGGCCCCATGAGTTGTCAGTCCGCCCCTGGTTTCCCCATACTATCTGTCAGATTTGAAAACAGCACAGCTGTGCGGGGCTCTGCCCACACGGCCACATCATTCATTCACAGTGTTCTTTAAATGAGTGCCTACAAGTCCTGACAGTCTTAGCAGCTGTAGGCTTGTAGTTTTCAATGAACTACCACGGCGCTGTGGAGCACCGTGGTAGTTCATGGAAGCTTCCTGTCAGTATATCTGCTTGCTTGTAAATCCTGTATGGCAAGCAGATATTCTGACAGGTCTACAGGAGTCCTGCATGGAATCAGCGATTTACAGATCGCTGGTGCAATGCTTTACAGGTTCCTTTGGACAAAAACTATAAATGCTAATTTTTTTACCTGCAAAATAATGTGCATTTATTATTTATGTCCAAAAGATAAACGTATCCTTTAGTGCAGGAAATTCATTAGGGTAAAAAACACTCAACCTTTAGAACCATTTAATACTCTATTGAAATCCCCTAGCAATTAAATATTCCTTAGTTCTGGCTTATAAGTGTACAGTATATGAACATATTGTATGGACAAAACTTGTCTGTGTTAAAGAATTCCCCTCTTAGACTGTTGTCACTGAACAAGTGCCCCTAATGGAAGTTTTGTCCTCGAATCCTGTTCTATTGACAACTTATAATCTTGGATTTTCTTTCACTTTTGGTCCCATTGACAATAGTTACCAGAACAAAGAAACAGGGCAAAACAGGGAGAAGAAACAAAGAGATGCTTAATAAAAAGCAGAACATATTGCACACATTAAAACTTGTTAGGCACACACTTAACCCCTTGATTATCTGAGATGTTAACTCCTTCCCAGCAAGTGTCATTAGTACAGTGATAGTGCATAGTATTATCACTGGTCACTGTATTAGTGTCACTTGAGATGTCAGCTTTATTCAGTTCCCACCCAGTGACAGTTAGTATCAGATTGCCCACCACACTATCACAGTCCCACTATAAGTCACTGATCACTGCCATTAGTAGTATTAAATATATAAATAAATAAAAATTCCAGTCTATATACATTGTTTGTAGACAATGTAACTTTAACACAAACCAATCAATATACACTTATTGGGATTTGTTTTATCAAAGACATGTAGCAGAATTATTTTTGTATTTCTTTTATTGGATATGTTTTATATCAGAAAATAAGAAATATTGTTTTTTTTTTCAAAATATTCTGTCTTTTTTCTTTTATATAAAAAAAAAAATCAAAACACAGTGGTGATCAAATACCACCAAAAGAAAGCTCTATTTATGTGAAAAAAAATTCTATAAATTCTGTTTTGGTACAGCTTGCATGACCACACAATTACCATTTAAAGTAGCTAAATAGCAAAAAATGGCCTGGTCGTGAAGGGGGTAAAACTTTCTGGAGCTGGGGTGGTAAAACATATGTTTCTTAATAACGTTTCCACATTCATTTTGAGTTTAACAATGTAAATATAAACAGAGATGGAGTTACAGTCTAAGAGACCTAGGGAATGTCTTAGAAAGAAAACATATTTATGTCATCCCTACTCAATTTCTAAGACCCTTCTCTCCTGCCTGCAACCAATATAGTTGAATATGGTTATTTTCCAGAGTGTTAGCCTTAGGAAGGGAAACTACATGTCAGGTGAAAAGGTGAAGCAAGACTGTTTTTTGCTTCAAGTAAAGAATGCCTATGATTCTAACAAATTTGCTGTTTTGTGTAAAATATACAAATATGGTGAAAAAGACATGGAAAGGACAGACTCAAGAATGACTAAAAATCAAAACTCAAGCATCAGAATGAAGATGAGCATTTAATCACATAAAACTGGTAACAATGGCAAACAGCAATAAGGTGCACAACATAAAACATTTTTATCAAATAAAAGTAAACACACAGCTATGTAAATGTATACCTATGTTTAAAAAATTTTTTTAATACTGAAATACTTGGGGGTTTAACTGACCCTAAAAAGCAATTTAGATATGCTGATGTATATAACACTGTACTATTAAGGCTGCCATGAATAAACATTTAACCTCTTTAACATCTTTCTAGCTATCATATATGTTACTTTTAAGTCTAAAACCTGCCCTGTGAAATAAACCATGACATTTGTTCAGCTGCTGCTGGTAGTAATGTTAGTGTTAAAAAATATGTTTGAGCAAAAAAAAAAAAAAAACCACGTATATGCAGTAATCTCTTTACTACATGCACATTTACTTATGTTGTAGTCCTTAAAGCAGTTCTTCATTCCAAGAAACAAAATCCTGTAGCTTCTGACTTTTAATAAAAGGACACTTACCTATTCAGGGATCCAGCACCATCCTCACCTGGTCAAGTTCTTCACTAGTCCTCAGGTTCCTGGCTCTGGCATCTTTAGTGTGGGAGGCTGTGACAGCTTGCAGCTTCACAACCGGCTTCCTACTGCACATACGCAATCCACACTGCACTTTGTGAATGGTCTTATATTTTCCTGGGACCTGTGATGTGTCCAATAAAGCTGAGGGTTAAGAGAGGAGGGCTGGACTGTCAAAACTAGGTACCCCCCCCCCCCCAAAAAAAAAAAATTCCAAATATGATGGGGGAGAAGCTTAAAACTGAACTTCCCCTTTTGGGTGAAGTTCTGCTTTAAATTGCTGCAAGTACAGAAAAATACCTAATGTTGCTACCAGAAAACCAATGAAAGTCTATCTTCAAATTTTTTTTCTAAAAATCTGTCTTTGCTGCATGTGCAAATCAAGCAATGTTTTCAGTGCTGCCTGAGTTGTCCTCGGTTAGGCTAAAGCAGCTCTATAGAGATTGCTGACTATGCCGACCCCTCTCTGTCCCACAAGTATTTACTGATTTCTTTGAAAGCAAAATGGTGCTGGTTCTTTCATTCCCAGCATCCTGCCCAGACATTGTATGTAAATGACTCTTGGGAGATGTAGTTCTGGTGGGGTCTGCCTACTCTATTAGAAACTGACCTCCCGGCAACTGGTTCTGGTTTTACAAGCCTGGTGATGACCTCATACAGAGTAATAAAAATTGTTTCTCATTACAAGAACAAAATAAAATAAACACATTCTGAAAACACACCCTAGTAAGGATTAAGGGAGGTTTGCATGTAGATTTTGGTCATGTTTCTACAAAACCTTTGAGCTGAAAGGCATATTTTTGAATGTTACATTATCCAAGACAGAGGAAATCCCAGCAAAACTTTGTTTGAATCACTTTTCAGCCACATGATCTGAGTCATTTTCAGCCAAATTGTCTGACCTTACAGGCATTTTAATTAAGTTTTTCTTGCATTTTTTTCCAGATTTTATTTTCAGTTAAATATTGTGTCCCTTATTTTTTTGAAGTCCTGCTCAGCTTCTTCCAGCTTTTCTAATCCAAGTGATGCCTTTTACTGCAACTCATCTGTTTATACACATAATGAATGACACTCAATTAGACAAATTATATCTGTAAAGAAAGTCTTTAGCTCTCCGTACAAGGTTAATGAAAATATGTTGTAAGCCCTATTGTTGTTTGCAAGGAAGCTACGAGGCCAAGTTGTACAAAAGGATCCAAATTATTTGAGGGTGCTAATTCACCTTCTTAAGGAACCCACCTTAAATTACTTAAAAGTGATAGATAACAGTATTAGCTAATATAGCTTCCTCTCTCTCCTTAACAAAGGACATGGAAGCAACAATAAAAAAAAGTCCCAACAAACAGAAAAAAACATGAAGTAGTACATTTAAAATGCTTTCTTTGTCAGTGACAAATGATCAAGCTCAACGAAAATGTGGTTATAAAGTCTGTTGCAAATGAGAGTTCCTCTTACAGAAGATGAATGAAAGTATTGGGTTCTAAATCACCGTGGACCAACCACTGAATAGTCAAACCAAATAGCTATGCGGTTCTGAAACGATTAAGGATCACTTGAAGTTAATTATGCTGCTAATGATGTATGCCCAGTGGATATGAATCAGGCAAAGTTAAAAGTAGATAGTGTTCTTATCTCTTATTGGTCAATAAACCTTAAGCAATTACAGTTGTTGCCTAAATGTGTAAGCAAGTTTGAAATAAGCATCAGAAAATAAGCTAAAGGAGAGATGACACTTAAAATTCTGTTGGAGTTCATGTTGCCTGTGTTTGCTTGTATCAAATAGTTTTCTCTTTTAAATTAAGAAAGCACTTTAAAAAAGATTTAAAAGCAATAACAGAAACATATTTTGCAGAAAAAATGCAGAATTTATTTTTGGAATACAGTAATAATAAAAATAATAACAATAGTATTGATAATAGAGACCAATAGTAACTAAATTTGGTTGTGTCTGGATTATTAATAGGGTGCTAGACATATGATTCTCAGAGATGCTGCTATAGGGCAGGGGTGACCAAACTTTTTTCAAAGAGGGCCAGATCGAATGAAGTGAACATGGTGGAGGGCCGAACATTTTTCCGAACATTCTTTGAACCATTACAATTAAATGCAAATAAATTATTTTATGCCAAGTTAATTGCAAACGACACACTTTTCATTTCATAACATTAAGATCAACTGACAGCTGAGTTTTCACAATGTATTGAAAATAAATGTAAAAAAAACTTACCTGCACTAATGTGAAGGGTGAAAAAGGTAGCTGGAGCTGAAGTCTCTGCTCGGCAGCCAGGAGGGGAAGAGAAACACACTTCACGCTGGAAGCCCGGCCCTGACGTCACCGCCCTCTGTCGCTCCCAGCGCGGCGCAGTCATGTATGTGCACTGCTCTCAAGCAGAAGACTGTCTGCCACAGAAGGGAGGGCCATGCGACAGCCGCATTTACACAGACCAGGGAGAACGCGCCGCAGTCAGGCATGCGCACTGCCCTCTGCTCTCAAGCAGAAGACTGTCTGCCCAAGAAGGGAGGGCCCTGGGAGGGCCACATTACACAGAGCAGGGAGGGCTGTTGGAGGGCCGTATTAAACCGACCCCCGGGCCGTAAATGGCCCGCGGGCTGGACTTTGGACATGCCTGCTATAGGGTGTACGTAGATCCAAGAGATACCATGTTCTGTAGCTGAT